GCCGATTGCTTTGAGTTTCAAGCAAAATGTATCTGCTGGCTAAAAAGTCTTGGAAGAAATAATCCTTACATATTCAATCCAAAACGTTTTGGCTAGGCAGCTATATTACTGTAATTATAGGGGGTATTTGCTGAAAACGCTATGATACGTTTTAAAATTTGATTTCAGAGCAACTCCTTTATTACATGGGTTCATACCACAGCAAAAACAGATACAGTTTTAGCACAGGAGGATAGTATAGCCAGTTTTGTAATGAAAGGTTTGGAAGTACAGCTTAAAATGAGTATATATTTAATTACTGACCCCAGTGACCCATCATGTGAAAACTATATAGAATTAAGTGAATGGGGGGAGGGGGATAATAATGTAAAATAATCTGCTTACATGCTTGTCTGTTCTACAATCCAGTCAATATACTCTGTGACCCTTGTGTAAACACCTGGCTTGTCTGGCTGGGCACATCCTTCTCCCCAGCTGGTAATACCAGTTAAATACCAAGTCTTGTCAACGTCACATGTTAGTGGTCCACCAGAGTCCCCCTGAAAAAAAATCATGCACACAATTATGTATGTAATATTCTATATCATATACAAAAAATATGAATGCACAAGAATGCTTAAGAGTTTCAAGGCAAGTCTCGCCTACAATCAAAATTCAAGGGTTGTAGTTTTTGGTAAGTTGAACCACATCCTGGATAAATTCTATCTCTCATGACTTCAGTGACAACATATTTCTACCAGAATGTCCCTACCCTATTTCTATGGTCATTACAAAGCCCAATGATGGTGTCACTACCGACTGCAAATTTGATCTTTGAAAGCTCTGAGGGATATAGCACATGAATTAACCCATTGGTACTTCCTCAAAACTAAATGGGTGCTATGACTTTTAAAAGAGGCTCAAAAATATTCAGAAGAACCTGTTATGAGAAATCTGAAAACTGTCTTGGTGACCCATTAAAAATTCCATTCCCTTTGCTGTCATAGTAATCCAATGGCTCCAGTACATTTTAAGTCACTGACATGGAATGGGTGTGCAGATTAGGAGTATGACTTCACTCAAAAATTCCTTGCTTGTATGTTTGTTCAAGGAATGTTAAAGCCAAGAAAGTCAGATAACTAGTATATTTGGTGGAGGCAACACAACAAAGCAAGCAAATTTGATGCTAGAATTGCTAAATTTGCAGCTGTTAATCAGAGGTTGGTCTTTTACCTATGCACATGATAGGAATGTGTGATGTGTTATTACATCACTAGTATTAATCTTGTAGTCTCAGGCCCAGGAAATTACCAAAAAAAGATGTTTATGAGTAACAAAAATCTGAAGTGTAATTTTCATGCTGAAAGAAAATTACAACTTAAAAAAATTGAGAATTAAGCCCCAAATATTAGTATTGTTACACTAAATATGTAATTAAAAAAATATAGTAGAGCTCACAGAAGGGAATTTATCAAATCTTTAGCAGACAAAATCTAGAGCAGCTGTGCATGGCAACCAATCAGCCTCTCTCTTTCATTTTCAAATCTTAAATGAACAAACTGAAGAGAGGATCTGTTTGGTTGCCATGCAAAGCTGCTTCAGATTTTGTCTGCTCCAGTTTTCATGCATTCCCCCCACAGTGTCTTTGGATAAATATATGAACATGTATATCTAGGCTAAGGTTAACAAAACTTTCCCAAAAAATGATTGCTAATGTTACTATTCATTAATAGTATTATGTATTACTATTTATTGAATGTTATAGAGGGACTCCAGTGTTATTTAAAAAAATTATAATAATTTGAGGAGGTCAGGTAGAGGTGAGTCGAAGGGGTAAACAGAAATGACCTCCATAGCAAATATCCAGTGGTCATAAGCCCCAGTCTCTCCACTGCCAGGTTCTAGCTAACTTCAGTGCAACACCTATGATGTACCCATGTACAGTAGTTTTATGAATCATTTTTCCTCCATAAAACACACTGTGGTTGGATGTAAGTCCTAATGGTGAGGTGCACAGGGACACGTAACCAACAAATTGGGTCCATGCAGCATTGCACCATTTACCTTTACTACTCACCGTCTACTGACATCCAGTCCTCTACTGTACAAAGGGTTGCAGTTTTTGTGAGTAATGTAACTAACAGAGTCAATTAGCAATACATTGTTATCAGAGCCAAGACAAGGTAGGAGCAGATTTGAAGCTCATGTATAGTCCTCCCTCATGGCTGCCCAACACATGCAGAGTGGAACAGGGCTCCTTGCAGAGTAGCAGAGGAGTGACCCTCACTAGAATAGGTGATCACTAGAATGACATTGCACTACTGTCAAGCAGAGTGATCTCTGTCTGACAGTTGGACTAATTTGCTGCATGTGATGACTGGGCAGGAGGAGAGAGTGGCGATAGGACAACCGTTGTTTGGATGTGGCTGATGTGGGGCAGGGTTTAATGGCAAGCTCATACAGTACCCAGAAATGTTAAAGCGTTGCTTGTCAGAGCCAGCCTTGATTCAGCTATGACCAAAAAGGTGACTTCTAGGTGCCTACACTTTATACCTACAGCAGTTTTGTTTTTTAATTGTAATGACAAGGTCTCATTAATGCTTTTAAATTGTACCTGTACAAATAGCAAGATATTTTTTGTCCAAATCATTAACTCACCTTACATGAGTCAATTTTGCCCTCTTTGTATCCTGCACAAATAACCTTGTCATTTAGCTTCACGTGTGGATAGCTACTTTGACATTCCATACTTGACTTTAGTGGCACCTCTGCTTTCTGAAGCACATCTGCAGTAGTGCCTAAACATTATTTGGAAAAACACTTGATAAATAATGTTATAAATGCACATATACAATTACAAAAGACAATTGAATATGAATGGATAAATGCACGAATGTTTCCTAACCAAAGATGGGATGCAGCTACATACTGATGTGGAGTAAGTAGGCCATCACTTGCCAGCCAGAAATGGGTATGTACTCACAATGCTGGTGGCCAATGTCACTGCTGTAAGCCACACTGCTGGGCCCCCTCTGTCACAGACAGTGCGGTTGACCCTGGAACATGTTGCTGGTACCTCCTCACTTTTTTTTGGCACTCTTCTAATGGTGGGGGGAGGGTGGGAGTGAAAGGTAAGCAGTCTGATTTCACTGACTGGCTAATGTGCCTGTGCCAAAATCACTTACATCTATTGCAAAGTTCTTTAGCCTCTGTAGCATGACACAAGCAGAGGTCACTCACACAGAAAACCACATTTGACCCCACTGTTTATCCCCAGCAGAGCCTCCCTAATGGTCAGTTTGGTGCTACTACATTAAGGCACCAACAAGAAGACTTAAGAGCAGATAGTTACATAGTTACATAGTTAGTCAGGTTGAAAAAAGACACATGTCCATCGAGTTCAACCTATAGAGATATGAAGAAAAAAAAAGAGGAAAAGCATAAAAAGCAACGCTATGCCCACAATTACCCACTGTTTATCCAGAGGAAGGCAAAAAAAACCCTATAAAGCATGGTTCAATTTGCTCCAACAGGGGAAAAAAATCCTTCCTGATCCCATAAAGCAATCGGATATTCCCTGCATCAACAATCTCAGATGGGAGTGGGGCCACACTTACCTTTTATAGGAAAAGGGGATGTCTATATCTATGAATCTACTGATCATTTTTACTTTCAGTTTTACTAAAGTTGAGCTTTGTTTGTGAATTTTTTTATTATAATCCTATTGTGAATTGTCTAGGTTGTTGACAGGTTTCCTTTAAAGTGAACTTTTGGCAGGACTATGGGCATTAAATTGTTTAAATATTCGTAAAGTATATCTAAACACAAGAACAAATATGTCATATATTGCAGCTTACCAGTCCTTAGATGTGATGGCTGCATTCGTTTTCTTTTTTAGACTTTTGTCCCTTTATTTTTACCTGGCGATCCTGACTAGTATGTAATATATTTCCTGCACGGAATCTATGGAGGAGCAGCATTGTCACCTTAGGACAGGAGTTTTGTTAATGCTACGGAATACCTCCCCAAATCCTTATCTCTATAACATAGAGGTTTATAGAGAGAACCAAGAGAGAGGCAGAGTGTACAGGAAGTTATTGGCTCATTGGATTTTTGTCAGGAACAACGGGTCTTTTTCTGCACTTATCAAACAGATATAACAAAACACTTTCAATGGTATATTTAACCGACCAAAAAGGAGCAAATAGGAAAAGTTAATTGTTAGAGTTTACTTTCACTTTAACAAGCAGAACAGGAGGTTTAAAACAAGTCTTTACTGACTTCTGCAGCTAAAGGCACTATGGATTAAGCCATCCCCACATTTGCAGAAGGAGCACTGAAGTTGTCCCAGTCATTCTCTCAGGCAGTTCAGCTACCCTGCCTCTCCCTAGCAACAGTGACTTGGCAGCCTGTTATCCTTCTATGGCAGGGGTAGCCAAACTCTGGTCCTCCAGCTGTGGTGGAACTACAAATCACATGAGGCATTGCAAGATTCTCACAGACATGACTCCCAGAGAGAGATGCATCATGGGATTTGTAGTTTCACCACAGCTGGAGGGCCGGAGTTTGGCTATCCCTGTTCTATGGTCTAACATGAACACAAATTAGGTGTTTTAGGAGGATACGCAGGGGGAGCTAAGCTGCTGTGGCAGAATGATTAAAATTACTTCAGTGTTTTCTGCTGTGAAACTTGTGGATGAATTGCTCCTCAGTGCCTGCAGCTACAGATGTAATGTAGGGTTTGTTAAAATCACATTTACAGCTAGTTAATAATATGTAATAATAATACAATAAAAATATTTAATATTAATAATATGTAAATACTTGAATGTCCATAACCTGGCCACGGGTTTGCTTTATGTATCCCTGGATGTTATAACTACAGAAAGAGATGTTAAAATTGTAAATACCAGACTCTTCTGTGTATCCCCATCCTGTTGTCCAGCACTTGCTAGAAGTTATGAAGTCTTGACGTGGTGGAAGGCAGATGGCTTGTTGATAGTCTAAAATTCATTGACAGCAGAAAAAAATTATAATATGCTTTTATGTAGTCATAGTCAGTTTAAAATGGAGCAGCTATAAGATGGCCCTAAGTCCAGCAGATGGCCCTAAGTCTCAGTATTAAAGAATTAAATATCACTGCTCCCTGTTTGACATATAATTCTGTTAGTGTATTGTGGAATTACATTTCGTCGCCAGAGCCATTTGTCCAGCTGTGGAAAAACTACAAATCCCATGTTGCATCTGTCTCTGAGAGTCATGCCTGTGGCAGTGAGAATCTTGCAATGCCTCGTGGGATTTGTAGTTTTACCTCAGCTGGAGGACAGGAGGTTTCCCACCCCTGGTGCACACTCCTATATGTACTTAGTCCACAAGGCCCTTTAATCACCTTGAGAAAGGGGACCTGCTTGTCCCAAATCATGCTATGTTTTTGTATTCTATACTGTACATCTTTGTATTAAAAAAGCAGTTGCACTGCATTAACAATCAGTTTGAAACCGGGAGTTTTCAAAGTGATTCAGGAGGGAAGAAAGCTCCAGTCCTGGGTCCATGTTTTGGTAGTAATCAGCACTTGGTTGTACAGGTGTGCCCAACCCTTATGAAAATGGGGCTGACTAGGGGGATTAGTTTTGCTGGCAAATAGGAACAGATGGTGTTCAGAAGTCAGGAGGACTTCCCCCAGAAGTCAAAGTGGAGTCAGGTGGTGTGTGCGTGCTGTGGGCACATGAAGACAGTCAGGGAGGCTGAGAGAACTGGTGAGACTGCGGGAGCCAATAGCTTGAGGGGCCGCCAATACAAGTGTGGGACACCACTACAGAGAGGACCGGTGGGTCAGAAATGTTAGAGTTAAGAGTGGAAGCCAGGAGGCTATACTTGTGTAGTTTTGCAAGCAGTGCATGGATGCAGTGCTGAACAACCCCTGCAAGGGTATCTGATGTGGATGTGTGAACTTTAATTGGAATAAAAGTGGGCTACCAAGCCCTTTAAAAGAAGATATTGCAAGTGGACTGCATCCTTAAAGCACTCAGCACAATATAAATAAATAAATAAATATAATAAATACATATATACAAGTGAAACTCGAATAATTAGAATATCGTGCAAAAGTTCATTTATTTCACTAATAGATTTTTTTTTATTACTTAAAGTGACACTAAACTGAGGAATTAAATCTTACTTTAAAAATGCATTCAAAAACCTTAACAAAAATGTACCTTATTTATGCAGAGTGGCTTTGAATCATCTGCGGAATTTTCTGACACAATCACCATTGTTTGCTTTTGTTTTTTCCTGGGACTTTTTTTGTCTATATTGCTTTTTTGTTTGTGTGTAGATATTTTTTATGCCTCATTAGTTTGAAGGCTCATATATGCGACTCATTTATATATGTTTCAAGGAATTAGATGTGTATGATTATTAGCTCGGCACAATATTGTTTTTCACAATTTCTTATTTATGCATCACATGCTCCCATGATAGACTACAATCTCAATACAAATTAGCTAACTAAAGGCGAGATTGTAGTCCATCACGGGAGCAAGCTTGGAGTGGTGGCTATTTTACAACACACACAGGGACCATGTGGAACAAAAGTGGCCACCCTCCAGAAGGAAGGACAGTGTCTTCACAAATTCAGAGATGATTTGAGGATCTACAGCTGAGTGATACACAAATAAGGTACAGCTTTGCTAGTTTAGTGTCACGTTGAATTAAAGTCCTATTATCTAACTAAAATGCTTACCACTGTATGTTATAGGTGTGTTTAGCTTTAGCAGTGCTAAATCACTGCCATTTTCTGCACCAATATAATTTGGATGAATTATGATTTGCTCAATCTCAGACTTGGTTGTAGCTGTAGTGATGTTTGACAACTTTGTGATGCCACTGTAAACTATCCAAAATCTAGGAAGGTGCCAACTAGACACAAAACGAAAATGCAAATAAGAAAATGATTTTAAAAAATACTTTTATACTAACCACTTGCCAACTTCTGTTATTTCCTACCAAAGAAAATTAAACACTTAGCTATGCATACAGTTCAAAAGGATGGTTGGATGCAAGGAATCTGAGATCCAAATCAACTTTTAGATTCAAGTTTTACAACCATGCATGCTTATGACTATGGAGATGGCAGAAGGCAAAGGGGGTATCTGTGGATGTCCTATGATGATAATAAAAATTGGTAATATAACCTAAGTTAGCCTGTAACCTACTGCCGTACCTTTGAACTACAACTTTCCCATACCTTAGAATGGGCCTTAATGAAAGAGGTTCTTGACCTTTGGGGGCATTGCATAAAGTTTAAGAATTTTCCTGGCACATGGTCCAAAAATTATCGAAGGAAGATAACAATGAAAGCCTTAAAGGGGGTGTGGTGGGAAGTGGGTAGCTAATTGTAGATTAATAAAGAGGTCATACTTACCTAAAGCTACAGGCAGAAGACTGATGGGTTGTAGCCTTATAAAGATCTTCCCACCCCTTATTGCTATTATCACAGCTTTATTGACAGGGGTTTACCTTGGCAGTAAAAAAAAAATGGCATCTAGTTGATGCGTTCAGTGGGCCTTGATTAATTGGATGTGTTTCCTGAATGTATGGTTAGGATAGGCCTTAAAGCCATGTTATGTTCGGTGCCCACAGTTCATGTGGCTGGGACAGGATTTCTTAGCAACTGCAAGTTATCAGCATGTTTGTTATTGTTTTTGCAATTAGTATGCCATGTAAATCAATAAAGATGTTGCTCTACACTTCCAACTAAGAACAGCCTTAGGGCCTATGTCGACAGGCTTTGGGCTTGTGTTGATCAGTATGACATCAGTTTGAGACCCTTCTGAGCTTACTCAGAATTCATGACCTGACATGTATTTTACTTGCTTCAAGCAAGTTTTGGCATTCCCATAGGCCTGAATGGTTACAAAACCCATTTGAAGCTAAAATAAGTATGTAGAGACTGGCCCTTAGTGTCTTTATCGTGTGTGACATAGGCAAAGCATATTTACCAAAGTGTTTTAGTCTATGATTATGCCTATACTTCTCAGCAAACCTGCAAATATCTCATACAAATATGAGTTAATATGCTGTTCCCTAAGGTTGTTTTCATGAAAGGTTTATTTATTTACATCTATGGCCGCCCATAAAAGACCCCAACAGCTCATTCAACAACAAGATGTACACTATATTGCCAAAAGTATTGGGACACCCCTCCAAATCATTAAATTCAGGTGTTCCGTGAAATTTCCTTGCTACTAAATATTCCACGGTCAACTGTTAGTGGTATTATAACAAAGTGGAAGCAACAGTAACCCAGCCACAAAGTGGTAGGCCATGTAAAATGACAGAGCAGGGTCAGCGCATGCTGACGCGCACAGTGCACAGCAGTCGCCAACTGTCTGCAGAGTCAATATCTACAGACCTCCAAACTTCATGTGGACTTCAGATTGGCACAACAACAGTTCGTAGAGAGCTTCATGGAATATGTTTCAATGGCCGAGCAGCTGCACCCAAGCCTTACATCACCAAGTGCAATGCAAAACATCGGATGCATTGGTGTAAAGCACACTATCACTGAACTCTAGAGAAGTGGACGTGTTCTCAGGAGTGACGAATCATGCTTCTCTGTCTGGCAATTCAATGGACGTGTCTGGGTTTGGCGGTTGCGAGGAGAACGGTACTTGCTTGACTGCATTGTGCCAAATGTAAAGTTTGGTGGAGGGGGGGTTATGGTGTGGGGTTGGGCTTGGCCCCTTAGTCCCAGTGAAGGGAACTCTTAAGGCATCAGCATATCAAGGCATTTTGGACAATTTCATGCTCCCAACTTTGTGGGAACAGTTTGGGGATGGTCCCTTCCTGTTCCAACATGACTGCGCATCAGTGCACAAAGCAAGGTCCATAAAGACATGGATGAGCGAGTTTGGGGTGGGGGAACTTGATTGGCCTGCACAGAGTCCTGACCTCAACCCGATAGAACACCTTTGGGATGAATTAGAGCAGAGACTGCAAGCCAGACCTTCTCATCCAACATCAGTACCTGACCTCACAAATGCTCTTCCCCTTTTGGAAGAATGGTCAAACATTCCCATAGACACACTACTAAACCTTGTGGACGCCTTCCCAGAAGAGCTGAAGCTGTTATAGCGGCAAAGGGTGGGCCAACTTAATATTGAACCCTACGGACTAAGATTGGGATTCCAAAGTTCATGTGCGTGTAAAGGTAGGCATCCCAATACTTTTGGTAATATAGTGTAGATTGGCCATTTGTAGGAACAAATGTCAGAGCTTTGCCAGCTTGAGAAAAGGGAAGGAAGTAGCAGATTCTACTGCAATTTAGTATGGGCAGATGTATTTAAGCATTCTCCGACAGATATGTGTCCTGTGTGTGGCCAGCTCAATATGACATATTTAAGGAATCAGATTCAATAAAGCAGTTGTTTTATAGACATATATAATATAAATGTTCAGATCTTATCTGCAAACAGTTGTCATTTTCACACACATTTATGGTGGACTGAGGATGGACTTTATGTAAAGAAAAAAAAAAAAAAGAGTAAATACTGTTTTCTCTCCATGTAGACAATGCCACTGAAGTTGACATCAAGAAAAATTGCTTTGTGCATGGATCTCCTCCTTGACCTCTCATACCCTAATACATTTTTACAATTGTCAACTTTCTAATGGCATGTTACTGTAACAATGCCTCATTGCCAGTAAATCCAGTCCATAAACAAGGATTATCAGTGTCTAGGGATTTCAAGCTTACTTACCTATTGTGTAGCATCTCCCCACCTTTTCTGCCAAGACATCACATTGCACTGGAAAAGTTTTAGAGTTCACCCAGTTCACTAAGCTGCATTCAGTATTATAATTCATACCAAAAACCAGCAGACATTTTATTTTCAAAATGATAAGTTCACTAATGCAAATATTATCAAGGTCTGCTACAACCTACTTGATGGAAAAAGCTATTTATAAATTGAAAACTTCCATTAGTGAATAATAGTTATATCACCACATCAAAAGTGACAACTTGTGATTATCTATGAAACTGGTAGTAACACAGTGGAGAAAGTAAGAGGAAATGGTTCACTTACTTTAAGTGGGCCTCGGGACCAGATGGATGTGACACACTGTCACATCCATCTGGTCCCGAGACCCACTTAAAGTAAGTGAACAATTTCCTCTTACTTTCTCCACTGTGTTACTACCAGTTTCATAGTCCCCCTAGCCTCGCGCCCTCACGTTTGTTTTTTGTTTCACAAGTGCAGGCACTCCTCCTGTCTCTTAGGGCTGCAGGCGAGGTAGAACTACAGTACCCTATTCCCTTGGGCCAATCCGAGAGCGCTGTTCGTAATATTTGTATGTGCCATGAACTTGTGATTATCTGTGAGCATTGACTTTGACATTTAAAATGCAAATTGGCAAAATGACATGACTGCAGTAAATTTAGTTGATTCATGGAATAAAGCTTTGAGGGAATTTAAACAAAAATTTTTTCATAATTAAAATGAGCAAATTGGATGACCAATGTCTCCAATCCTTTGATTACAGTAGGGAGGAGCAGTGGTTACAGTGCAGCTTTTCAATGTTTTATTACATTACAGCAGGCAGGTCCATCTGCAGACAGCAACTACAAGCAGCGCTTAAACCACAATTGTTGACTACATTGGGTCCAAGGCTTTGCGTATGGTTCACTTACTTTAAGTGGGCCTCGGGACCAGATGGATGTGACACACTGTCACATCCATCTGGTCCCGAGACCCACTTAAAGTAAGTGAACAATTTCCTCTTACTTTCTCCACTGTGTTACTACCAGTTTCATAGTCCCCCTAGCCTCGCGCCCTCACGTTTGTTTTTTGTTTCACAAGTGCAGGCACTCCTCCTGTCTCTTAGGGCTGCAGGCGAGGTAGAACTACAGTACCCTATTCCCTTGGGCCAATCCGAGAGCGCTGTTCGTAATATTTGTATGTGCCATGAACTTGTGATTATCTGTGAGCATTGACTTTGACATTTAAAATGCAAATTGGCAAAATGACATGACTGCAGTAAATTTAGTTGATTCATGGAATAAAGCTTTGAGGGAATTTAAACAAAAATTTTTTCATAATTAAAATGAGCAAATTGGATGACCAATGTCTCCAATCCTTTGATTACAGTAGGGAGGAGCAGTGGTTACAGTGCAGCTTTTCAATGTTTTATTACATTACAGCAGGCAGGTCCATCTGCAGACAGCAACTACAAGCAGCGCTTAAACCACAATTGTTGACTACATTGGGTCCAAGGCTTTGCGTGCAGTGTGTCACGTGCATTAGGCTTTAACATAAACCACTCAATTACACACTCACGAAGGTCTCTTTTGTGTACAATGGATCCAGGCCAAGTGTAATTCTATGTATGGTATTGCACAAACTGTGTCATTGGACAGGTTTTGAGAATGTATTTTATTGTAAAATCTAAGAAAATCATAGTAAGCTGATGTGTGAGTTTAAGAACTACTGCTAAAACCTCTGGGTTTGATGCCTGGAATGAACTTGTAGAAGTTTGATTTTTTTTAAATTTCTTCTGAGGACTTTGAATCTGTATGTTCTTGGCTTGTGAGTCAAATGTAAAAAAAAAGTCACTTTTCTCTGTTCACGGTTCCTTTGTTTTTCTATGGGTTAACGTACAAGTGTATCTATTTCCAACCTACCCTAACTTTTGCCACAGAAGTACTGTGGTGTGCTCACTATGAGTTAGTGCCATTTGGTGGAAGGATACAGAGCCAAGAGGAGCAAGGCTAAAAGCTTGTACATGCATTGGACACTGTGAAACCAGGTGATTTGTTTCTAAAGCTCCTTTGAAGTTAGAGCGATGTCAGGACTGCTGACAATAATGGTGGCAGATTCATTTGATGGAATCGGAGAAAAGCAAGAGAATTGGAAGTG